GGGGGTCAAGTGGGGGGTCATTAGAAAGGGCTTTTAATTCTCTATACATCGATTCTTACTTTTTGAAAATCGATCCATTATTTTAGAAAATATGCAGCTTTGAAAATACGAACAATATTTTTGACGAGAAATGCGAAAATCGATTTAATTTTACTTCAAAACTTACGGTATTAGCTTGGTAAATTCCTTCAAAAGAATTCGCTGTTTTTTTTTCTGATTTGCGAATTCTTTAGCCTGATTTTGATGAGCAAAAAATTGTCCGCTTTTTGTTTCGTATTTAGATAGGCCATATGATTTATGTCCCAGAATTCGAAAAGTAAGATCGCGACCTCTCATCCTTATGTAAAATTTTGAGCTACCCCCACCCCCGATTATCTTACTAGTTGCGAAATCAAATTTTATACCATAATTAGAAAGCTTTCTCATTCCTCTTTATAAAAAAAATCAACTTTTTATCCCTGTTAGTAGTCAAGTTATAACAAAAAAACTGTTCAAGAAATATTTCGTTTTTACCCCTAACCCTCGTACGCGACGCTTGACGATAAAGTTTATATGAATTTTTTTCTCTACTCATCCTCTACTATGACTCGCTAGCATTTGAAAAAAATTCAACTATTGGTTTTATTTTTAGATTTCAGAATTTATTTCAAAAATGTTCAAATTTCAGATGTGTATAGGATTTTTGTTAAAGGTTTATTTTTGAATAATTTAATACAAGATCGATTAGGGAATGTCAAATCATGTTGAATTTTTGTATATTAAGCAAAAAAATATGTGACCTTGACACACTACCTATTGAGATTTTCAGAAAATAGCATTGGTCAAATTTTTCTAATCTATCGAACTTTATACTATATTCTAGTATATTTCATTTCATATTTAAAAAAATCCAAAAAAAAAATTTCAGAATCCAAAATGTTTCCAAAAATCATATTTTTTTTCGAGTTAGGTCTTTACTCATCACGAATTCTGAAAGAGCACCCTCGTAAACATAAAAATCCACATTTTCATATTTTCACTTTTTCTGAGTGAATAACTGAAATATTTTGGAATCGTCTCTTAAGTCAAGCGAACAATTTTTTTTATCCTATTTTCTATTTATTTATTTTTATGATGAGCGAAAATCATATGAAGCTATGTAAAGTGTTCCATTAAGGCCTATACAATAATGTATAATGTTTCATGGATTCGTTACTCCCCACCGTAATCGTTAAAACCGCTGACTTGAGATCATTTGGAAAATATATAAGCAGTGTTCTATCGTTTGTAACCATATTGCAGATATTAGTATCTGAATTGNGTATTAAACATATTTTATTTTTGTTCATATTAACTCATTTCCTAAATAACATGGAATTCTAGTAATTAAATTTTTATCCTTTTAAGCGCTACCCAACCGTAAGTTTTATACTAATAGCTGAAATATTATTTAGCATCAGTATATCAAGCACATTATTCCTGTTGTTAGATGCTACTATGGTGGTCTAGAGGTAACGGGCTCGCTTTGGAATCCATAGGTTCGGGGTTCGAATCTCAGACAGAGCAAGACTTTTTTAATTTAAATAAAATTCGAAACCAACTTTAAATTTACCGTCAATTGCAGCCCACCTCTCTCCTTCACTCCGATCTCTATTGTGCATGCGTTTAAATCTAGAAATTTTGAATTTACCGCCAATTTGCCGCGATCTGATTGGTCAAGAGACGTGGCCAATTTGAATGCTGCTACGCTCAGATTGGTCGTGGCCTAAAAATGGAGGAGAGGGGGTAAAATTCGTCAAAAATGACCAGGATGAACCTTCATAAGAAAATACATGGGATTTTGGCGTCGTACGCCCCTAGCTTATCTACTGAGACCCTTTGTAGAGAAATATTTCGTAAGACATTTCTAAAACAAAAGTTGTAGTATTTCAGGATTTTTCTTCAAATTCAATTAATATGGAGATATGCATTTTCGTTCATAATTCGTAATTTAATATTTTTTTCTTTTTTTAGTGCCAACACCAGCGCCAACCCCATCACCACAACCACCTCAGCCTTGTCCAACCCCACTCCCATGCCCGGTGCAATCAGAGCCACAGCCGTGCCCACAACCAATTCGTAAGTTAAGCAAGTTAATTATTATCTTCTTGGAAAATAAAAATACATTAATAATATGGTATCGAGCAAAAAAAATAATAATAAAAATCTGAGAAAATGAAAAGTCCAACTGTAACCATTACATTTATCGCTCAGCATATCAAAAACATATTTTTTTTGCTGCAATACTCAAAACTAAAAAAAAAAAATCTGTTTTGGCCAACGATCGCGAAAACTGTAACCTTTTATCTTACTCTCGCAAGATCGAATTTATTATAGATAGAGGTTTTTTAGAAAAATGTTTAGGGTGTCTAGAGTAATTTTCTATTATTCTTTTGTGGATATCTAGATCAAAATTGTCATATATTTCGTTGCCATTTTTGAAATACATCTTAGCGATTCATATAAAGCGGATACATTAATTTTCCCGGGATTACTGACATTTATGGAAAAACCTGAAACAGGTCTGTTATTAATTTTTTTAAATGACATTACCTTGAGAAACAATATTGACTTCATTTCAACAATGGTGTTTGTATCAATGAATAGGAAAACTTAATCTATTTAAAATGATGTGTCGTGTAACTTTCCAATATAAAAATTTTGGGAGATGGACTCCTTTGTTACAGGGGTGAAATGGGGAGAAATATTATTTCACAAGACAGTCATTTTTAATACAAAAATTGACATATTTCAGAATTTTTCTTTAAAATAGTCAATACCAATTTCGAATAAATTATTCGTGAATTCTAAGACAGGCAAAACAAGAAATGCAATTTATTATTTTTGGAGTTCCTGAATCTAGATAAAACTACAAGACTGGTAAATGTATGCATGGAACGCCAAGTATTGGATATCATCAACCAGGTGTCTTCAAACACTTATCTTTCCAGTGAGCAGAAAGTTATTCGTCTAGAGAAATTTATTGCAACAATAAACCTCGCCCGATAAGAGTGCGCCTTGGACATGCATCATCTGTTCACTATATTATTCACAATCTCAAGTCGGCTAAAGTTAATAATACCAGGTTAAATCGGATCTTTATCTCTTTTCATAGAACTATAAAAGAAACCCGAATACTTAACATCTTTGAAACTGGAATTGCAGCAGAGAGAAGATAGTGGAGAAGGCAACTTACAGATTAAATTTGTGCGTGGTATTCCCCAAATTGTTACGGTAAACTGAAAGAGTCCTGCAGTACACATCCAGTACCAGAATGTTCGAGGTTTAAGTTCTAATTGTAAGATGGATTCATTTTTCGCTGGTGTCAGTGTGTGTCACACTAACTTCGTCTGTTTGATGGAAACCTGGCTCTCCAATGATGTGTCAAGTTTTGAACTCTTTCCAAACAGTTTTAATGTAACCATATGTGAACGCAATTTTGATCAAACTGGATTAACCCGTGTTGGTGGCGTATTTATTGCAAGTAGGATCTTGTTGGTATTAAACTATTTTTGCAACACTATGTATTCTCTAGCCCACCGAATCATTTGGCTCGATGGCCAAGGGCGCGAGATGTACCGCCACACGTGTCCACGATCTCCCGGGGGGTTAAACAAGCTGGCGAAAATGAAGCGAGAAGATAAGAAGAGCGCCAGAACAGGTCCCCTGCCGGCGGGAGTAGGCCAGGACAAAAGGAGGCCCCACAAAGCGCTTACAGGAGGTTGTCCAGGTGCACAGCGATGAGGCAGGACAAAATGGGATAGTCCCTCTCGGTTCCAAATCATTTAGGCCATACACAATGCCATCAATAATGACGTTCACTATGTATTCTCTGTATTTATTTTATATATTCCTCCGGACACAAATGATTTTACGTTGCAGTTGTTCTCGAGCAATTTGAACAGTATCTACCTACTTGCGTAATCTGGAGAATTTTGTAATCCTGAGAGATTTCAATGTACCAAGTCTTATGTTGGCTATTGATGCCCCAAAAAGTCGTGCATCAATTTTTTGGATTTAAATCAGTGTAACATCATTAACTTAAATAATCGAATATTAGACCTTGTCTTATCAAGAAACTATTGCGATGTACATACCTATTTCATGATGATTCACCATTAGTTACTGAAAATTATCATCATCCTGCCATTATCTTCTTTGCTAATTTACAAGTTAAATGTCTTTATAAATTTCCTCCGAACTCCTACACTTTATAACGCCATGTTAGCGATTGAGTTTTCTTTTTTGGATGAGAAATGATAATTTGGCGTGCCAAACATTTTATACCAAACTCTATAAAATTGTCGAAGCTCATGTACCTCGGTATATAACAAAAACAAACAGAAATATCCAGTCTGGTTCAAGTCTGAACTAAAAAAATGTATAAAACTAAAAGAAAATTTTTGTCGGCAAAACATAAAAGTATTAGTACCTAACCTAAATAATCTTAAGAATGTTAAAAAGCAAAATCTCTTGCTGATAGGGACTACAAAAATTATTTAGTGAATGTTGCAGGTGACATAAAAACCGATCCAAAAAAGTTTTGGTCTTTTGTCAGTAACAAAGGGAGGTTAGTAGAATTCCAGGTATTATGCGCGATAGTGAAAATCGATAGTTAAATAACCCGAATGCTATTGTTGAGTCATACTTTCATAGTGTTTTTCTTCAATCCGATAATAGCTACCTTTGAAGGTAGCCGGGACTTCCTCATCGATATAAATATGCCCACTGCTTTCATTCATGAGTTTTCTGAAAATGACATTATTAATTCGATAGGCAAACTCAAAAACAAAATGATCTGTGGACCCAATTTAATTCCTAGTGTTTTCGTTAATGACTGTGCTTATGTTTTAGCATATCAGCTACATAATGTCCAACTTGTCACTACATTGTCGGACATCTATCCACAATTTAAAAACATAATTTTACCTGACCAGCATGGGTTCATGGAAAAGAGATCTACTAACACAAATTTAATTTGTATGACTCAATATTTGTCAAGTGTAATAGATGACCAAAGCCAAGTCGACGTTATCTACATGAATTTTTCAAAGGCTTCTGATCGGATAGATAATAAAATATTACTATACAAATTAGCTAGTTACGGGTTCACTGCTACTGCAGTAGAGTTATTGAAATGTTACCTACAACGGCTATAAATAAGTTTACCCTACTACGTCAGGTGTCCTTCAAGGATTCAACCTTGGACCATTACTCTTTTCTTTATTTGTTAACGATCTCAACAATTGTATTACCTACAACATTTTGTTTTTTGCTGACGATTTGGAAGTATATTCATCTATCGATAGCATACATGATCGCATGTTTCTTTCGAATGAGTTAAATAAGGTTTCACAGTGGTGCATTTCTAATAACTTAAACTTAAATATTTCGAAATGTAAGGTAATATCATACACGCGGGAAGTAAATTCAATTATTTTTTATTACTACGTAGATACCGAAGCTTTGTTACGTACGAATTAATAACTCGTTTTGATTTTAATTCTTTAGAGTTTAGAAGGAACTTTTACAGCTTAAAGTATTTACATTCGCTTCTGAGTAAGAATATCAACTGTCCCATCTCTTAAACTCCTTACATTTTATAGTCGTATTCCGCGAACTTTTTATTGTCTTATTGCTAATACTATTGTTTATTGACGTCTCTCATATGCAGGGTGATTTCACTTTAAATACAGAAACTGCAGGAATTGCCAAAAAATAAGTAAAGTTTGCTCTATAAACTTTTTTCCTTGGGGGGGCGAGTCCCGTAGGAAAAAAATTTATTGAGCAAACTCTTACGTTTTGGTAATGAATCTAGTCCTGCAGTTTCTGTATTTAAAGTGTATATGGGCCAATGAAATTGTCGAAAATACCTCATTTTTTTTACTAAAAAATAGTTCAGTAATTGAAAATATGTAAAAATTAGGAAAAATTCCGTAGAATTCAATGAACTACTTTACCCTACCTGAATTTTTGGGCTTCATTTTCAAAATGGCGTCCAAAGTTCGCAAAAAACTGTTTTTTTCATTTATAAAAAACTAAATATTTTAGAAAAAATGTTTTAAACAAAAGTTGTAGAAATTAATCATAACTGATAAAAAAAAGCTTTATAAATGTACAAGAAAAGAAAAAATACATGTAGTTCGTTACGTAAGATCGACATATACAATAGTAGTATTACAGTCTCCCCCCCTCCGCGCGCATGGACGTGTCGAGCCGAGCAAGCAATATACGGGGCCCATAAAAATGAAATTTATTAAAAGAAAATGTGACCAATCGTTGCAGACTATTCTTGATATTGAAGTACAAGTATTCAACTATAACATGTGTAAATTTCAGCTCTTAATATTAATAAATGATGTCGTGACGATTTTTCGAAAAAAAAATTTGTCTCGGCCCCTGTTTTGTCGTAAATGTCAACTTACGAATGGCAATATCGACATTTTGATACGATTTGAAATCAAAAAGTTAATCATTAATTTTATGGTCCCGTAAAAAAACCGATTTTTCGATCGTTTTTTGCGATATTTCAAATCGATTTGAGGCTAGCGCAATATTTACAGATAATGGTGTAATTATTAAAGAAAATTTTAAGCCCAACCCCGTTCTTACAGATGTGGTGGCCTATGAATTATGGGGATTTTACAAAAACGTTCGAAAAACTCGATTTTAGCAAATACTATAAAACATTCAATTTTGAAAAAATATTTTATTTTACTCACCCTTTTTCCAAGTTTCATAAAAAAAATTATTTTTGAAAGAGATACATCTATTTGAAAAAATTGTGATTTTTAGCGGTTTTTTTTTGCAATAACTAATTTATTTATTTATCGATCAAAACCGGGATTATTCGATCCATATTAAAAATTTCTAAAACTTTTGTTTGAAACATTTTTTTCTAAAATGTTTAGTTTTTCTATAAATGAAAAAAACTGTTTTTTGCGAACTTTGGGCGCCATTTGGAAAATGAAGCCCAAAAATTCAGGAGGGGTAAAGTAGTTCATTGAATTCTACGGAATTTTTCCTAATTTTTACATATTTTCAATTACTGAACTATTTTTTGGCACCTGAAAAAGTAATTTGATTGAACTAATAATGACATGAATATAATGACAATAATGTAATAATGACAATAAAATATTTACCTCATATGATATATTTTATTGTAATTTGAAAACTTTGTATTGCACGTTTAAATATGCCAGTGACACTTGAATATAATAATTGTACTCGTGTTACCTCATTTTATCAATGTATTGTTATTTTTTTAGTTAATCTGTGTTGGTTTATTTTTTCATTTATATAAATTTTTATAAACTTTGTCCTGTAATTGGTTTGTATACTGTTGGACAATTTTATTATTATTATTATTATTATTATTATTATTATTATTATTATTAAAATCAATAATAGCTTGGAAAATTAATTTATGGGCTATTTGCACTTTATAAGAGTATTCATTATTAATTCGGAATTTAATTGGGTCCTGTTTTTTTTTAGCGTCAACTCCATCACCACAACCACCTTCGCCTTGTCCAGCCCCAATGCCTTGCCCGGTGCCACCACAGCTTCAGCCGTGTCCTCAACCAATTCGTAAGTTAAGCAAGTTGATCATTTATTATCCTCTTGGCAAATAAAAATACATCAATAAGACGAACCAATACGGTATCCAGCAAAGAATATGAAAAATATATTAGAGTTTGAGCATTAGATAGTTTGAAAACACAAAAAATGCATAGAAATATTGAAAAATCTGTGAAAAATTAGTGAAAAAATTATATTGACCATTTATATATATATATACATATATGTATACATTACAAATAATATTGTTACAATAATTCACTCATGGTAATCAAATTCTTATTCCGACATCAAGCTTTGTCGTTTCCGATTGAGTTTCGGATTGGGAATCTAAAAAACAAATACAACTGCTGTAATTATATAAATAGAAAATAATATTTGTTTACATAAAATATTCATTATTTCTTTCATAATGACAGCCCGAACAATTTTATTAAATTATAATAAATAAATAAATGATCT